CCAGACACCCCATGCAGGACTAATTCATATCTCTACCAGCAGGGATCCTTCAGGCACTTGCCTTCCACAACTTCCAACATTTAGCATTTTTGCTTTTCCAATGAGTGTGAGGTTAAACTTCAGAATTGTTTAGATTTGCTTTACTTTGATCCTTTAAAATGGTTGTTTTGTGTATCTTGCAAACAAGACTGCTTTTGTGCTACATCCTTGTATATTTGTCTTAATTCCTTTTGTATCTTGTATATCAAACCTTTATCAGTGGCATTTCATGTGAAGATTTTTTTTACTCCACAGTTTCTCTTATAGTTTGCATTGATTTAAATGTTGCAAAATTTTTTCTATTTGACTATTGTCTATTTTATATTTTATTGTCACTTTTATCCTTTAAGATTCCTTAGTGGTGGCTGTAAAGGGGTATTCTTCCCATTTCCTCTGATTTGTTTTTATGATGTGATCTTTTATCTTTAGGTCAAGTATCTTTTTGGAGCTTATTGTGATATATGGTGTTTAAGATTCTGATTTTTTAAACCTGATTTCTGCCAAACTACTTTCCATTGGAGAGCCTTTTGAGAGGTTTTTTTTTTGTTTGTTTTTTAACTGTGCTAGGTATTTAGATGTAAAGCAGTATTTCAGGAAAATCATCGATAGCAGTATGTTAGATTCATTGTGGGCAGGAGAGATTTTAAGCAGGAGGACCAGTTAAGAGAGATTACTGCAGTTTAGAGGTGAGTCAATGGCAAATATTATGCTACTCGACAAGGGCAGCCAGTGAGTAAAAGCAAAATTGTTGATCATTAATCTCTTGGGGCCATTGTCCCATTGTTCCAAAAACCTAAAGTCCCTTTTAGATTTTCACTGACTTTTCCTCTATACCTATTAGTTGGCAGTAAGATTTTTTTTTTTTAAATTTCCCCAAACCGAAGTGACAAACAGATGTAACTGGGGCCTAGCTATGCTTTGTTTAGAAAAGTTTACTATATACCAGATGAGATCTAGCATAGCAGTGGCATCCTGAGTAGAATTAAGCCTACCATCCTGGTACCAGCTTGCCATGTAACTGTTTACATCAAGGCTTTTTAGGCTGGTGAAGTTCTGGTCAAAGAAGAAAATATGGTGGAAGATTACATAGTGCAAAGTTCTGCTTACAGATTGATAGAGGCATTCAGAGAACCAGAGTACCTGTTGAAAGAGGATTGGGGTGGGCAATGTTCCTGATTTGGCTGGGTGGTATCATAGGGCACAGACCGAGGGCCCAGAATTACTGGGTAAGGAAATAACCTTTGACCAACCCGAGTCAATGCCTTTTCTGCAATAAGTTTCAGAGTTGCCCAGAATGCTATGTTCAAATACCAGCTCTGATACTTCCCTATTTATGCGACTTGTACCAAGTCAGCTCTCCCCTCTCAGGTTGTCAAATCATTGATCTCAGTCTCAGTCTTTTCCTCCCAAACTTGTACATCAAATGAGGACCCTGGAGTAATCTTTCACCCATACTCACAAGTCCCAATAATTCCATCTCTAATCCTCCCTTTGTGGAATGTTCTTCCTCTCTGCCTCTTGGATCCCTAGCTATGCAAGGCCTAGATCCCATGATGCTTCCTACACAAGGTCTGTCTAGATGCCTCTGGTGGTTAGATTGCTTTCCTTCATTATACTATATTTGGTATGCAGTTTGCAGTGACCTTTTTCTGTCTTTTTATTTCCAGGGTAAAACACAGTGCTTGTACTTGCCCTCCTTGACCTTTGCTTTCTCAAGGGAAAAGACTTTCTCCCTTGTCCAATACAAGGGTAACTCATTTGGATTCTGCCTTCCCAAGCCTCCTATAGAATTTCCCCCATAACCTGTTGTCCTAGAGCAAGAGCATAATCCGTTTAGGTTTTCTGAGAGTTTATACTACTACTATAACAGTAATGACAGGGAAAGTTACAGAAATTATTAAGAGCCAGTGAACAATCATGGTTCCATGATCCTGCCCTCATTGACAGGAATTATTTGTTATTGCTGTCTGGAAAATATTTTTTGATTGTAAACTTGGATTTGGGCAGATGATGTCTATCTAAGGTTCCTTCTAGCCCTAAAAAAAAAAAAAATTAAAAAAGATTAATTCAACAGAGCAGGTTGTAGGAAAGGACTCCTGGTGGCAGAATTAAACAAAATCCCAATTTGGGATGTCAAAATTGATTCTGAGATGTGTACAGATAATGTATAAATGTTATAAGGAAATCAATAGCTTGCCCAACAGAGGAGCTCTAAGGGAAGTCATTTAATGACTAGCTTTAAGAATCGGTCTAAAGCACAACTAACATCTAAATGTGGCTTCACTGCCCCTTTTGTTTATCCAGTATGTTTGATGTGCAAATTTGACAAGTGGAGATGGTTTGGTTATTGTAAATCTCAAGTCTGGGAAGACTTACAATCCAAATTTGAGAAAAAGCAAAATCCTGAGAACATAGGGAAAGTGGCAGAGAGTAGGCAGCTGTACCAGAAGAGTATAAAGTGTTCTTCGGTGGCAAGATATGTCTGATGGATGTTATCCATGTTCTGGAAATGAGCTGGAAATTAAAGGCATTCTGGAAATAATTTCCAACTGGGAACTCGGGATTTTGAATGGGAAAAAGCATGGATTCTGGAAGGTGCTCCTGAAGAGAACATACATTTCATTCATTAAAATTAAATAAGCATATATCACATGCCTTCTATTCAAGAAAACAAATTCAATTAATAGGTCCCCTACCATTTAAACAAAGCAGCATATTGTTGATATAGCCACATAAAAATATATATCTTGTTTTTAAAATCACTAGAATTTCTCCCAGTATCTCTTCCCCTCCCCGTTCCCAGAGACCAATCTCATAAAACAGTAATTATAAAGAAATCGGCAAAACTGATGAGTGCAATGAAGTGCATCCATGGACCTCCCACTTCTGCAAAGGGTGGTGGTGTCTTCCTTATCTTCACCCAGGCCATCATCTTTGATTGCTTTGTGGTGGCATTTCCCATTTACATTGTTGTAGTCCTTGTGTATATTGTTTTCTTAGCTCAACTTTGCTGCATTAGATTGTGTAAATCTTTCTATGCTTTCTTGGTATTCACGACATTCATCATTTCTTATGGCACAGTAATATTCCATTACATTTGTGTGTCATAATTTGTTTAGCCATTCTATAATTGAGGGATGATCTGATTTGTTTCCAATTCTTTGCTAGGACAAAAGATATTGCTATAAAATATTTTGCTGATCTCTTGGAGCTTATGAGCTTAGTAGTGGAATCCCTGGGTAAAAAAAAAAAAAAAAAGAAAAAAGCGTGTAGTGGTATGTGCCAAGTACTGTGCTAAAATCCAGGATACATATAGCAAAACCAACAATCCCATAAAAGAAAGGTAGGCTGCGGGGCATATGGAAAGGCTGGGAAGTTCTCAGGATTCAGTGGTAGGAAAGATGACTCCAAGGTCCTTAGGTTACATAAGTAGTTCAAGTGACAATGCTAGAGTCTGATGGATCATCCTGTCACCAGGAGGAATAGAGTTGTCGATTCCCATCTCCCATCTCGGATGGGTACAGATCACGCTTTTACTAGGATGCAGCGTGGTGCAGTGGACAGAATTGATTTGGAATGAGAGGATTCATATACCGTAATTTGTTCCATCTTCCCAATTTGATCATTTGATTTTCAGTTCTTTGCTGTAACAAAAAAAATGCTGATATATTTTTGTACATTAGTTTTCCTCCTTCTTTGATTTCTTTAGGATATAAATCTAGAAGTGTGTGAGAAAAATTACTTCTTATATTGTTTGGGAAAAATTATTCTGCTTAAATCCAACTCTATGTCATCAAAGTTTGTCTATGTCCAGAATGTCACTTGACCCCAGTAACTCTTTAGGAATGCTGGAGATGGCCATAACTTATTTTGGGTCCCCTCAAGTTCTGGATCTACTCAAATAATTTTTATTTTGGGTCACCACACCCAAGACTTGTGATGATGCACCCAAATTTGTGTTTTGGTTAAGTTGCCTTCTCAGCAAAATTATTTTACAGTGTACGCTCCATGGATGATAGCACACCTGTCAATGGGTTTTTCTTGGTAAAGATATGAGAGTGGTTTGTTATTTCCTTCTCCAGTGAATTAAGGCAAGCAGAGTGTTAAATACTTGCCCAGGGTCATACGACTAGTATCTGAGGCAAGATTTGAACTCAGATCTTTCTGACTCTAGGCTCAGTGTTCTATTTATTGAGTTACCCAGCTGCCTCATGTGCAATCATCCTGTATCCCTTCTGCCCTTTGTGGGTAAACTCCTTGAAAAGGTTGTGCCTTCACTTCTCCTCTCTCTCTTTTCAACCCTTTACAATCTGGCTTCCGACCTCATCTTTCCAGCAAAACTGCTCTCTCCACGTTACCAATGATCTTCTTACACTTTACTAACCTCAGTCCAATGACATGGGCTGCCTCTTTGCTCCTCGAACAAGACATTCCAGCTCTTGGCTCCCGGCATTTTCTCTGCCTGCCCTGCATGCCTGGAATGACCTCCCTCTTCCACTCCGACTACCGACTTCCCTGGCTTCCTTTAAGTCCCAAATAAAATCCCACAGGAAACTTTTCTTAACCCCTGTTAATGCTAGTGCCTTCCCTCTCTTAATTATTTTCTGTTTATCCTATATATAACTTGGCTGTATATATTTGATTGCATGTTTTCTTCCACACTAGACTGCAAGCTCCTTGAGGACCGACTGTCTTTTGCCTCTTTTTTTCCCATGTGTAGTTGGTACATAGTAGGCACTTGGTAAATATTAACATACTGACTGAAAAGAAGAATGATGTTTTGGGACAAATTAGCATTCATTATTTATTAACTAGTTTATGAGACAGAGGCTCAGAAATCTGCTGCCACAGAGGAAATGGAGGCAGTGTGTCCAGAGGAGAGAAAATGGAGGTGGCGGTGGGGGGAGGAGAAGAGGAAAGTTAATGTTGAAGGGGAGTTGTTGGGATAGACTTGACTTGACTCAGTGGGAAGCAAGATTCTTGAAGTGCTTCCTGATGACTGGGGAATCCCAGTATCCCTTGGAAATGGAATGATCTTTTTTTTCAAGGAATTTGATGCAGGGGGGGTAGTGGGAGGCTAAAGCCATGCCTTTGATAGGAACACTAAGGATGGACTTTCCTTTTTCAGACATGGCCTTCTTAGATTGAACCATCTTTAGAGGGATCAAGGGGCCCAGGCTTTCACACAGAGATTTCTTTTGGTCCTGGAGGTCCCTCTTCATCTTTTGAAGCTTCAAAGTCTGGATTCTTTCCCTTTCCTGCCTGGACTCCTCCTCCACCAGGAGCTTCCAGTCCTGAAGCTTTTCCCGGACCCAGGGATCTTTCTTGGATAGGATAATGAATATTTTTTCCAGCTATAAAAAAAGATGATGAGACCCGGGGACTGGTTCACTCCAGGAACAGACTCTTTCTGGTCTGGAGTGGAGAGTAAGCTCTGAGAACAGTTTGGCCCATTCTCAGGAGGCCAGGTCAAGGAGTCTTTGCTCCTCCTGCCTCTCTAACTCTCAAAGAACTGGGGATTTGAGCAGGGAGAAAGAGGGTAGACAGTTGAGGACCGTGAAGTGGTAAGAGTCCTATACCAGAATTCAAGTTCAGCTATGACATTAATGAGCAGGATGACCTTGAGCAAGTCATTCCTCCTTTTTGGGACTCAGTTTCCCTATGTGTGAATGAGGTTGAACTAGATGACCTCTAACCAGTTTTATAATAATAATAATAACAGCAAAAATATCAACATGTATTTGCTTTAAGGTTTTACAAAGCACTTCACATATATTACCTCATTTGAGCCTCAATCACTCTGAGAGAGAAGTGTTATTATTATACCTATTTTACAGATGAGGAAACTGAGTCTGGGAGAGGTTAAATGACTTCAGAAACACACAGGTAATAAGTGTCTCAGGCAGTATTCAAACTCAAATCTTCCTGACTTCAAGTCAAGTGCTTTCCACCATGACACCTAGCTACCTCAATTCAATTCAACAAAATTTTACTAATCACCTACTTTGTGCCAAGCATTTTGCCCGGTATCAGAAATTCTGACAAAAAGGAAACCAATCCCCATCCTCAAGGGCCTTATGTTCTTTTATATTCTATCTGTTGGCCACCCATTCTGTGCAGGACCTTACACTCAACCCCATGAGACCCCATGGCTGGACAAGAGTCTGTGTGTAGATGCATGACCTACATGTGTGAAGCATGAAAGTAACAGTAAAAAATGATACCAACTGTACCATTACGCAGGGTATACATTATAAGAATATCTCCCTCCTCCAAACTCATTTCTGACTGGGGTAATAAGGGGAGGCTTCATGTAAGAGGTGACATTTGAGCTAGTCCTTGAGGCCTTTAAATAGGGAGAGAGTGGTAGAGAAGGAATTCCATGAAGCATGAACCATGACTATAGAACCCTGAAGCATAGACCATAGTCTAACTAGGAGGCTGGGAAGGAGATAGATCTGGCTCAAATGGAAGGACTGCATAGGGAAGTTGTGGAAAACTAAGATGGGGCAGTAGGTTGGGGTTGGGCTTTTGAATGCCAGGCTGTGGAATGTGGATTTCACCGAGCAGGTGACAGGGAGGCTTTTGGAACAGTGGGGTCTGTCAGCGGTAAGGATGATGGGAGTAGGGTGGGGAGTGTGGAGCACAAGCAGAGGGTGGGGGGAAAGGGACCACTCACCTCTTTTCTTACCAATGGATTCATTTCCAGGTCCAGCATGTCCATGAGAAAATAGAACATGCGTGAGCTGCGGATGCCCAGAACACCCTGGTGGGAGGCAAAGGTAAAAGATCCTGGGTATCCAGCCCTGGGAAGTGGTACCAAGCATAGTCTTTTGATGCCTCACCCCCATCCCACCACTTCTCTGGGTCTTATGGGGGTGATACAGAGGAAACCCACTGAAGTTCAAGGTGACATTGCTGAACTTCCCTGCTAGTCTCGTGGTAGGCTGTTCTGGGACCGTGCAGCTGGTGTCTAGGCTGAGGGAGTCAAGGCTTCACGGACTATGGCCCTTTCACTATTCCTTGCCCTACTCAGACTTAGGCCACACAACCGGTGCCTGAGCAAAGTCTTCCATGTCTGAGCCCTCAGGAATGGGCACTCTATCACTATAGATTCTCAGCAGTGTTGGGTACTCTCCCGTTCCTTCTTCCCTTCTTTCCTCTCTAGCTTATCTCAACCCACCATGCCTTCCCTTCCTCTCTTTTTCTCTTCCCTCTCATCACCAAACTGGTGAGGACTTATGGGTGGAGTGTCTAATACATGGTAGGTGCCTAATAAATGCTGCTGACTGATTGACAATAGGGGTAGGAAGGAGGAAATCAATTTAGTCGGCCTTACGATGGATATGACAGCCTCGTGACGTACCAATGCACTGGCGTCATTAAGCTGCCTGGGTAGAAAGGAAAAGAGGGAGGGGTCATTGGGAGAGGAAAGGAAGGAAGAGGAGAGGAAGGATAGGTCCTCCATTAACCAGTGCTCCCTTTGCCCAAGTAGTGGGGTCGTTTTAATTCATTGTCTGATTGACTATGACTGGCACATAGTAATCACTTAGTAGATGTTTGTTGGCTGACTGACTTTATACCCCGTACCTCCCAGGCCAAAGAGAAAGGGTCGGGAAAATGATTGTGGGCTGATGAACTCCTAGCTGTTCTAAGTGTGGTGGAGAATAACCTGAGTGAGGACAGCTAGGTGGTACAGTGGATAGAGCTCTGGCCTTGGAGTCAGGAAAACCTGAGGTCAAATCTGACCTCTGACATTTGAGACACTCCTGTAGCTGTGTGACCCCTGGGCAAGCCACTTAACCCCGATTGCCTCACCAAAAAGCAAAAAAACCAAAAAACCAAAAATGAACAAAAAAACCCAATCTATATAATTTATTAGCAAAACAGGCATAATAAATGAGTCTGTGGACTGAGGAGTCCATTGGTCCATTTATTATACCTGTTTTGCTGATAAATCATATTATCTACCACATAAGAAAAGTTAAGATAATGCCTGGGACTTGAGAAATCTTCCATCACATCTGCAGTGATCACCCCAGAACTCTCATTTCCAACCCTGATTTCCCCAAACATTCCACTTTCATGTCTTGATTTCCTTCTGTCATCCCATTCTCATCTTCACCCCCTTTATCTCAACTGGGATATTTGTAAAAAGCACATAGCACCGTGCCTGACACATAGTAGGCACTATATAAATGTTCATTTCCTCCCCTCTTTCTCCATTCCAATTCTCATCACTCCCATCCTACTCTCCTACTTCTCATCCCACCCATCATCTCATTTCCCACTTATTCTCTCCCTGATCCATTCTCCCCATCCCACCTCCACTCCATTATTCAAACCTGCTCATATTCCAACGTCATTCCATCTCTACCTAGTCTCATTGTCCCTACTATCATCTGATCCCCTCATCCCATCCCCCACTTTTCCACCTCATCCCGTTCCTCCTTGCCCGTCTGTTCTCCTACCTTTCATCTTGTCCCTTATCTCATGACCCCAGGCGTTATCACACACCACCCACCCCATTCTTCATTCCATCCCACGCTCTTCACCTCATTGCCTCTGCATCTCATCATGATCCCACTACTTTCATAAGCCCTCTGGCTCTATCCCACTCTATGCCCTCTGCTATACAATAATATATTTAAAGCTGAAAGGGATCTTTGAAGCCACTGAGTCCAACTTTCTCCTTTAAGGTGGGAAACTGAGGCCCAAAAGAATTACAAGTGGCTTATCCAGGGTTATGCAGCTAGGAAATATCTGAGGAAGGATATGAACCCAAATCTTCTGGACATTTTAAGTCTATTTTCTTCACTTTCTGCTCCCTCTGGGGAAACACTCATGGGGACCACACCTCCTCCCCTTTGGGACAGGCCCCTTCCAGTGTCCATCACTTCATTCCTCATCCTCCAATCTCCCACCCTATTCCATCCTTCTTTTATTCCAGCCCTACCTTTAATCTCATCCAGCACCCTCTGCCCTTGTATCCCAGGATCCCCAGATGAGGGAAAGGGTATTTCCCTAAAACCAAACTCCCCACTCTCTACGGGGTTAATGAAAGCAAGAGTTTAACTTCTGATCTAACATTGCCCTCTACCTCCCAGTAGCAGGCAGGGCTCCCTTCCCCTTGGAGTGGACAGTTCCCACAGGCCCTATGACGGCCTTTCTTCCCTCTACCCCCACTCTTGGTTTCCAAGTTCCTCACGACTCCACGATGTTCAGCATCATAGGCTTCATTTTTAGCACCTCCACCATTTCTGCCACAGCTTCTCTCACTTCCTGGGGGTCAGGAGAGATGGGGGTAAGAAGGGAGATGGTGGCATGAAAGGAGAGATTGACAAGAAGAGAGAGAAGAGGAGGGAAGGGAGGAAGGGAACTCACTTGTAAGGGATCATTATGAACCTTGAACCTGAGTAGCTCAAAAATGTCATTCTCCATGCCCAAATTCTGAATCTTCTCTAGCCCAATAATCTTAAGTAGTTTGATGGCTTCTAACCGGTGCTGAGGATAGGAGAGAAATGGAGGAAAATATGTGGGATGGGCATACCTCACGGGTTTGGGATTTGTTAGAAGGGGCAATGAATTTCCTGGATAAGATGGGGGGAAAAGGGAAGAGTGGGATCCTCACAGATTCTCTCTCCTCCTTCCCCACCCCACCCCACCACCCTTGCCCTGCCTAGTTCCAATGGGAACACA